ACAGATGCCTGCGGTGGGGATCTCGCAGATACTCTCAGCACCAGTCTCAACCTGGCGGAGCTGGACTTGACTGGTAACAATGGTCTGGGGGCTGGCGGCATGCAGCTGCTGTGCGAGGGACTGAGACATCCCAGCTGCAAGTTGCAGACACTGCGGTAAGGGGTGCATGGCTTGCACCAGCACCTCTATATGATGTGCTTGTTTGGGGGAATTTTTTAGTTCAGCCAAAGCCAGGCCCACCCCCAGCACCTATCCCTGCATCTCCAAGTCCATCTGTGCTGGGGGCAAATGGAATTCCCAGGTGCAGGGAGGCAGGGAAGGTGCAGCTGGTGCACGGGCCCTACCAGTGGGATGTAGCAGTGGCTCAGGTGGGCACAGCAGGAGACACAAGGCAGGGGAATGCAGCAACCTACCAGAACACTCCTGGCATCCCACGCTGCTGTGACTGAGATGTATTTCCTGAATAGGAAGCAGCAGGATAGCCTCATTATAGTGCTACAGGTCTGCTCATCAGCACCCCTGAGAGGCAGCACTCAGCCTTGGTGCCCCTGTGTGAACAGCTCTGCTGCTGCTGCTGTGGAGGTGCTGTGTGCAGAGTCAGCTCCTGTGTCTGTGCAGCCTGCCCAGTCAGTGACCAGTATTGGGCAGGTTTAGAGGTTTGGGGTGACATGTGGAAACCATGTTGGTGTGAAGTGTCCTGTTCAGTTCTGTGGGAGCCTGAAGCAGGGAGCATAGGGATGAAATCAGTTGAGAGTCACTGGCCTGGGGCACAGAGATCTGGGCTGCCAGTCAGGAGATCTTTGCAGAGGCAAGTCACTCACCCCTTCTTCTTTCTCATCATGTGTAGTGTAGGTGCAATGATGGTTTCCTCCCTTCTCCTGTAACTTGTGATCTCCGCAGAAAAGTGCATGAACTATTAATGAATGCCTGAGCACAGAGGCAGAGGCACTTGTCTTCATCATTACTCTCCTTCCCGAATGCTAGGCTGTTCTTCCTTAAGACAATTGGTCACTCCCTCAAAGAGCATTACCACAGCTGGGAATTGCTGTGGCACTGCAATGTTCTGCCCATATTCTCACAAAGCTTCCTACAAGACCCCAGTATCAGGAGTCTTTTGAGACAGCTGCATTAAAACCAGGTCTGTGACATCCAGCGATTCCTGTATAGACAGGGAATCCTTGTTTGTCCTGGAAAAATAGCATTTTGGTCTCTGCATGCCAGCAGAGCCACATGAATGAACTTTGTCAGAGTGGACAAACTAACCCAATGCCTATATCAGACACACATTTATCATTAGAATTAGTTCTGCATCTTTTTTTGATTCATAAAACAAATTCTATCCTTCTTGAACATTGAGTGCAACATCGTCTTGGTGGGAGGTGGCCAGTGCTGCCCCAGTGTTCTTGGCCGTGTGTTGTTCAACATCTTTATCAACCTTGGGGGTACTTAGCCCCACCATGGTATTTCAGGGTGCTTCTTTTAGCCTGAAACATTCAAAATTAGCCTCCTGTACTGGAGGAAAGTAAAGGGCCAAGCCCACCATAGCTAGCTGAGCAAAGGGAGCTATAAAGGCTGTCTGACCCCTCTCCCCTCAGGAATCTACAGCCAGCACGCTGCATGCAGGTAGCTTTGTTTAACTGGGTCTTGAAAACCTCCAAGGATGCAGATTCCATAATCTATCTGGGTAACCTGTTCCAGTATATTAATACCCTCCTAGGAGAATATTTTTCCTAATATTGCAGCAAGGGAAATATAGGTTCAAGCTGAGACCGTTGCTCCTTATTCTGTTATCTTCTACCGCCGAAAACAGTCCATCCTCTTTCAAACATCCTTTCAGGTAGCTGTAGGCTGCTATTAAATCCACTCTAAGTCATCTCTTCTCCAAACTAAATAAGCTCAGTTCTCTCAGCGTCTCATCAGAAGTCATGTGCCCCAGGCTCCTCACCATTTTTCTTGCCCTCCGCTGGCCTCTCTCCAATTTGTCCATATCATCTCAGTAGTGGGGGTCCAAAACTGAACATGCTACTCCAGATGTGGCCTCACCAATGCTTGATAGAGGCAAAGAAACAACTTCCTTTTACCTGCTGGCAACACTCCTACCAATGCAGCCCAGTATGCCATTAGCTTTCTCGGCAACAAGGGCACACTGTTGGCTCATATTCAGCTTATTGTCCACTGTAACCCTCAGATACTTTTCTGCAGAGCTGCTGCCCACCCAGTCAGTACCCAGCCTGTACTGGTGTGCTCTGTCCTAAGTGTAGGGTTTTGCACTTGTCCTTGTTGAACCTCATGAGATTTCTTTTAGCCCCATCATGTAATTTCTCTAGGTCACTCTGAATCCTAGCCCTACCCTCCAGCATATCTACTATCCCCCCTTCCCACCCCAAGCTTGGTGTATTCTGCAAACTTGCTGAGGGCGCGCTCTATGCCATCTTCCAAGTTGTTGATGAAGACATTGAACAAAACTGGCCCCAGGACTGACCCCTTGAGCACTACGCTTGATACTAGCTGCCAACTAGACATTGAGCTATAGATTGGGCATTGACTGGGCTGTCTGAGCCCGATGCTTCATCCAGTTGTCTGTCCACTGTACAGTCCATTCATCCGTCCCAGACTTCCTTAGCTTGCCTGTGAGAATGTTGTGGGAGACTGTATCAAAAGTCTTGCTAAAATCAAGGTAGACCACATCCACTGGTGTCCCCACATCCACAAAGCCAGTCACCTCACCATAGAAGGCAATCAGGTTGGTCAGGCATGACTTGTCCTTGGTGAATCCCTGCTGGCTGTTCCTGATCACGTTCTTCTCCTCCAAGTGCTTAGAAATAGAGTCCTTGAGGATCTGCTCCATGATTTTTCCAGGGACTGAGGTGAGGCTGACTGGTCTGTAGTTCCCTAGATCCTCCTTTTTACCTTTCTTAAATATGGGCACTACGTTTGCCCTTTTCCAATCATCCAGGACCTCTCCTGATAGCCATGAGTTTTCAAAACCATGGCTCTGCAATCTGCTGCTTCCATGCTGCGTTTTTGATGGCCAGTGGGAAGGTTCAAGTGTGCGGTTTAGTTGCCCTGCTCCTCATTCTTCATTGGCCAGGAGCAGAGGGTAGCAGCCAGGCCATTTTCAATGCTAATTGGCCACAGGTGCAATACAGACATTGGGGCTGATCAGGAAGCACTGGTTTCTCCTTGGCTGAGGGGTGGACCTTGGGGCAGGGCAGAAGGAGAGATTTTTGTCCCCACTGGCCATGCTGCCTGGCTGGGAAGGGGATGGCTGGCTGGGGCTGCCTGTTAGAAAGGCCCTATTCATGCCCTGATCTTTCTTCTCTGTGCTTCTTTCTCTCTGCAGGTTGTGGGGTTGTGATCTCACAGATGCCTGCTGCGGTGATCTTGCCACTGCCCTCAGCACCAGCCCCAACCTGACAGAGCTGGACCTGAGTTTTGTCACTGGTCTGGGGGCTGGCAGCATGCAGCTCCTGTTGTGCGGCCTGAGACATCCCTGCTGCAAGTTGCAGACACTGCGGTAAGGAGCTCACAGTGTCCTCTAGGCACTCACTAGGGTCTTTGTGTAACCTACTGGAGGGCCAGGAGTCAGTGAGAGGCTGGTGCACAATGGCTGCTCTTTGAAGGAGCAGGGAGGATTACAGAGCTCAGTGTCTCTCCAGCCCCCACATCACTGGTTCATGGCCTGCACCCACCTGCCTGGACTGGGATGACATGTTGTTCAATTCTGGGTTCCCCTTCCCCTCCGACTGGCTTCCAGGGGATCCTGCCCATGAGTTCCCAGAGGGAGTCAAAGTCTGCTTTTCTGAAATCCAGGGTCCTTACTCCATCCTTCCCTTCCTCAGGATCCTGAACTCAATCTTTGCATGGTCACTGCTGGCCAAGTTGCCATCCACTACTACAGTGGTTCCCAACCTTTTTTATACCAGACTGGCACAGGAGCAGGACAGGGCACACGGAGCTGTCTGCCTCTCTCCCAGGACTGCCCCACCTCCCAGCACGTGACTGCCGGTGGCGGAAACTGTTCACCTGGGCAGACAGATGGGGGTCCAAGCAGGGGGCTCATGCCATGACCCATCAGCCAACCCTGATTTCTCAGGAAGTATGAGAGCACCTCCCCTGTTGCCCCCTCCTGCTTGCTTTTCCTCCAGGTATCCCACTTCCCCACTTACCTCAGGGCTTTCATCTCCATTCCCCGGTGAACCTAATTTAATGCTCTCTTTGCTAGGTTAGCGAGCCTGCCTGCAAAGAAGTTCTTCCCTCTCTTCTTCATATGGATCCCACCTCTTCCCAACAATCGTTCTTCTGCTCTCTTAACTACTCGGTGCAGTGCCAGTTGTGCCAGGAGGCAGGAATCAGAAGGGAGCTGCAGGAAGCAGGAGTAAAATTCTCTATTCAGATCCACAACAGAGGGATTGTAGCAAGGCCTGAGAGCATGGCAACAGGGTGCCTTCTCAGGCCATTACTGTCTACTGTGTCCAGGGGACCTGCTTGCCATGGGGTCTGACACCCTTTTCCCCTCTCCCCCTCTCCACTCTTGGTACTTTGTCTCAGTGGAAGGTGGTAGTGCTGTCTTTTCTGGCCTTGGCAGCTGTGACTGGTCCCTTAATGCCCTGATCACTCTCCTCTGTTTGTCGCTCCTGCAGCTTGTATCATTGAAGTAGCTCTGCTTGGCCTGGAAGCTGCCTCTTCTCCCTAATCCAGCTGCTTACAACAAGTAGCAGATGGGCTCTTTTGAGGCAGAGCCAGAACAGGCCTGAGGTCTGCAGGGAGCAGCAGAGCTGGTGCTGGGGCACAGAGGAGCAGATCTCCCCAGCTCCTGCCTGGAGCCTGCCCGGTGCTAGGGAGGGGGCTTCTCCTGCAGCCTCCTGCCCCAAGGGTGGCTCTGACTGGCTCACACAGTTCTGTGGCTGGGCAGGAACGAACCCACAGGATTTGTATGGAGCTGAATGGGCAGCACTGATGGGGCCGTCTCCTGCATGTGCTGCCTTGTGGTTAGCTAGCCGGTGGGAAGGCTCAAGGGTGAGGCTTAGGAAGGAAGTGCTTGTTCTGTTCCTCATTCCTGTTTCACGGGGAGCAGAGGGTTGCAGCCAGGTCCTTCGGAGAGTGCTGATACAGCACAGACATGGAGGCTGAGCAGGATGCACTAGTTTCTCCTTGCTGAAGGGTTGCATCTTGGGGACTTCTGTCCCATTGTCCATGCTGATTGGCCAGAGAGGGGGCTGGTGGGTGTGGCCACGTGTCAGAATGTCCCTGTTCATGCCCTGACCTTCCTCCTCTGTGCTTCTCTCCTTCAGGTTGCGGTGTTGCAGTCTCACGGATGCCTGCTGTAGGCTTCTTGCTGCTGCTCTCAGCACCAGCCCCAGCCTGATGCAGTTGGACCTGAGTGGTAATAAAGATCTAGGGGATGGCGGCGTGCAGCTGCTGTGCGAGGGGCTGACCAATCCCAGCTGCAAGTTACAGACACTGCGGTAAGGAGTGTGTTGGCTCCTTTAGGCACCCACCAGGGCCTCTGTGTAACAGGCCTGGAGTGGGAGGGAGCCAGGGACTGGCTGGTGCATGAAGCAGCAGGGAGGAGCTCAGTGCTCCTCCAGCCCTTTGCACCCTCCTGCCTTGGCTGAGATAACACCTTGTTTGGTAAAGCCAGGCCCACCCCAAGCACCTGGGGTGGAGCCCAGTGCCCCTCCCTGGTGCAGAGGAGGGGAAGGAGCAGGTTAGTTCCAGTGACAGACGGGGGGCTGGGCAATGAACCTGGATTGAAGCTGCTGTGTGAGGACCAGAAATGTCCCAGCTGCAAACTGCAAGCATCTGTGTAGTGGTGCAGCCAGGTCATTTTTATCTTGTGTTTGACATCTTTACTCTAATCCAAAACAGGGTTTTTTTTTCCCACATCAGCCTGGGTGGAGGGGAAACCTCCTTATTGATTGGAGTAGCAACCCCAGAGCTGGGGGAGGCGTAGCTGTGGATTCAGCCAGGATGGCTCGTTTGGGTGGGGAGGGGACACATGGCACAGAGGAGCACCGGAGAGTCCATAGGGTGGGGTGGGGAAGCTGCAGGCTGCCCCCTGGCCCTGCCTTCCATACCTGTGTCTGCAGCCTTTCTTCAGACAACTAGCAGATGTTTCCTGATCACAGGTTCTCATGGGGGACTTCAGTCACCCTGACACCTGCTGGGAGGGAATACAGCAGCGTGCAGGCAATCCGGGGAGTTTTTGGAGAGTGTGCAGTAACTCTGGGTACTGTACAGTCATGTAGCATTTGACTTGCACCAGGAAGTTGTTCCCAACAGTCGCGCTGCTGAATGTTTTTTTCATGACACTGACTGCACAATAGCTTGTGACTACTGCACAATAGCATTGCATCACACTTCTTGCTATGTGACACTACTGTGCAGTAGTCGTGGGCTGCTGTCCAGTCAGTGCCTCATGTAGATGTGGCCAATATTTACATGTTGCTCATTCATATAAAGATTCAGATCTGTGTTACCCCATTTTTTTTCACTGAGATTTTGCACTGAACCTGTTTGCCTGAGGACTGGAAGAGTGCCAACTCACTTGTGTCCTTGTGAAAAGTACTGATCTGGAAAGAGGGATTCTTATCCCTTTCCTTCATCATCTGGGCATGCCACTTGCCACGCTCTGTTTCTTTTACTTTGCTGACTAACCTGCTGTAACATCTGCAGAGGTTCCTTTTGGAACAGGCCTGCTTTAGCCACATACCTGCGATTTAGCACGAGTCCCTTGAAAACAGCTAAGGTTTCAACGGGCCAACAAAGTTTGTAGCTGACTACGTACAGCACAGCTGTGCCAAAAAGACAAAACGGAAGTTGTTACGGTGAGCTGCTGTTACACACTTTTCCAAAAAGCAGTTCTTCATTCTTGGCCAAGTCTAATATTAATGGCTTGAGAAGCAGATTCTTACTCTACTGCTCAGGCTATTGCTTGCGATTCAAAAGCAAGCTTATTGATTCTTGACTGTATGCCAGTTTAAGCACATATTCCTAATTCAGGGTTGTCCTAGACCAGACTCGGTGCAGTCCGTCAGTCACTGACCAGGTCTACAGCCTACAGGGATGCCCTCAGCTGTTTCTTCCAGGAAGCTTGTAGTGAGACCATGACACAACTCTCTGGACACTGTGGTGTTGAGGGAGGCCAGGCAGAGGTGTTCAGGCTCAGGGCACAACGTTATGGACATGTGTGCAGGCTCTGGCATTTCCTGTTAGGAGATACCTCATTCTCCAGGAAGGCAAATGGCAGTAGGTAGCAGCCACGTTGTAGATGACCACAGCCCCCCTGCTCCCTTCACGAATCAGTGAGATATGAGCTGTGCCAGGAGGCAGGACTTGGCAGGGAGCTGCAGGAGGCAGGGGTAAAAGTCTCCATTCAGATCCACCCCAGCGGCTTTGTAGCAGGGCCTGAGAGCAGGACAACAGGGTGCCTTCTCAGGGCTTTACTGCCCACCATGTCCAGGAGCCCTGCTTGCTCTGGGGCCTGACACCATTTCCCCTTTTCTCCCTCTCCCCTTTTGATGCTTTGTCTCCGTGGAAGGTGGATGCATTGTTCCTGTTCTGGGCTTGGCAGCTGTATCTGGCTCCTTAATGCCCAGATCACTCTTCTCCGCTTTTCTCACTCCTGCCACTTGTATCATTGCCCTGTCACAACCATGTGCTCTGGGAAGAAACACATTCATGGCGCCCCCTGTTTTGGCCTTCCCTGAATGGTTTAATTTGTGGTTTTTCTCACTGAAATGTTCTTAGACCCCCTGCTTGGTTTCAGAGGAGGGAGTGGGGATTTAAGGCCTGAATTTCTGTGTATGTTAAAGGTAGAAATTCCTTCACTGCAGGCTACGACTCCCTCTGGGGAAAGGGCTCGTAGCTTGGAAAGAAGGGACGCCGTGCTGTTCCCTGTGGCTGTGAAGGTTGCGTGTGCCCTGCACCTTGTCTCATGTTAGCAGGCAGGACCGAATGCAGTGTCAGGAGGCAGCAGCCAGGCTCCCAGGTGGTCCGTGAGGACCCAGCAGTAACAGTCTCCAGGAACAGCAGCTGCCGGACTCTGGCGCAGGTCCTGCCAACAGGCTCAGGCAGCCAAGGTCCTTTCAGGGTCCCTTCTCTCCCTCAACACCGGGGCCACCCATAGCCCTGGGACCGTCCCCCTCTCTCTCTTCACCTTTGACCCCTGGTCCCAGTGGAAAGGCAGGTCTGCTCCTACCTCTACTGGGCCTGGCAGTCACCTCCTCTCCCCAGACCTGATGCTCAGAGCCAGTAGCAGACGGGCTGGGGTGTGCAGGGAGCAGTAGACCTGGTGCTGGGGCATGGAGGAGCAGATCGGTGCTGGGGAGGGGACTCCTCCTGCTCCAGGGGCAGCTCTCACTGGCCCGCACCGTTCTGGGGCTGGGCAGGGATGAAGCCACCTGATTCATATGGAGCTGAATGAGCAGCACTGATGAGGTGACCTCCTGCATGTACTGCCTTGTGGTTAGCCATTGGGAAGGGCTGGGAGTGGGGTTTAGGGAGGAAGCCCCTCATTCCTCTTTGACAGGGAGCAGAGGGTTAGGGCTGGACCCTTTTCAGTGCTGACTGGCCACAGGTGCAGCACGGACATTGGGGCTGAGCAGGAAGTGCTGGTTTCTCCTTGGCCAAGGGGTAGATCCTGGGGCAGGGCAGGAGGCAGGACTTATGTCCCATCGTGCATGCTGATCGGTCAGGCAGATGGATGGTGGTGAGAGCTATACGTAAGTACCCCACTCATGCCCTGATCTCTCTCCTCTCCTGCAGGTTGCACAGTTGCTGTCTCACAGATGGCTGCTGTGGGGATCTCACCGCTGCTCTCAAGACCAACCCCAGCCTGACAGAGCTGAACCTGGGTGGCAACACTGGTCTGGGGGATGGCGGCGTGCGGCTGCTGTGCGAGTGGCTGAGACATCCCAGCTGCAAGTTTCAGATACTGGGGTAAGAGCACAGGGCTTTCATTGGACCCTCTATTTGTTGGGCTTGGTTTGGGGGAGAGGCATGCCTGGTGCCCGTACTGGGCTCAGTGGAATTGTTGAGTGAAGCCAAAGCCAGGCCTACACGTACCACCTCTCCTGCGGCTCCCGGTACATGTGTGTTGGGGGCAAATGGCCTTCCCTGGTGCACATGCCCTACCAGTGGGCTGTGGCAGTGGCTCAGGTGGGCACAGCTGGAGACACAGGGCAGGGGAATGCAGCAACCTGCCACAACAGCTCTGCCACCCCGCGCTGCCCAAGTGAGATGTGTTTCCTGAATGGGAAGCAGCAGGATTCCTTCACCGCAGTGCTAGAGGCCTGCTCATCAGTATCCCTGGGGGGCAGCGCTTGTTATCCCTGGTGCCACTTTGTGAACAAGGCTCTGCTGCTGCTGCTGTTGTGGAAGTGCTGCGCGTGGAGCCAGCTCATGTGCCTTTCCAGTCTGCCTGGCCAGTGACCAGTGCTGTGTAGGTTGTGGGCCTGTTCACAGGTTTGGGGCACATGTGGGTTTGGGGAGAGTGCTGGGGACCATGTTGAGGTGAAGTGCCCTGTTCAGTTCTGTGAGAGCCTGAAGCAGGGAGTGTAGGGATGAAAAAGGTTGGCAGCCGCTGGCCTGAGGCAGAGACCTGGGCTGCCAGCCAAGAGACCTCACTGCCTCTTGCCAGGAGGCAAGTCACTTTTCCCCACTCTTCTGCTTAGTTTGCTGAAAAGGTGCTGAAGAAGGGACATGATAGCAGACTTTAACTATTTGAAGGGTTGCCATGAAGAAAAAGGAAAGTGCCTTTACTCTTGCTGCAGAGAAGGATGTGGATCAATTGCTTAAAGCTACGGCAAAGTAAATTTTGCTTGGATAGCCAGAAATACTCTTCCCTGTGAGGATAGTGAGGCAGTGGAATAGACCGCCTAGGGAAGCTGTGGACTCTCCATCACTAGATGTGTTGAGGTAGGGGGTGGACAGTTACCCATCAGGGATGATCTAGGCATAGCTATGCCTATTTTCTACCATGGGCATTTATTTCCATTGCTTCCGGGCTTTGCTGCTTGTTCCTAACCCCAGCTCCCTTTTTTCTCCTATACGTGTCAGGGTGTTTTTAAGCCTCCCCAGTGGCTTTGGGTGTTAGGTACAGCTAAGGCTGAGGACTTCAACTGGGGTGTGCTGATTCTCCCACTAGGAGCAAAGCTAGAGGTTCCTGGCTAGAGGTCATGCCCCTACACTAAAGGTCAGACTGATCGCCATGTTTGGGTTCAGGTAGGAATTTTACCCCATGGTCAGATTAGTATGGACTGCAAGGGTGTTGCCTTTCTCAGTAGCTGGAGGCATAGCCCTCTACCTGGGACCTCTTGAATATATATTTTCAACATTGAAAAAAGTGGTGTTTTTAAAAACCCACCACTTCAATGTAGGAGAATGAAACCAAAGTAACCCCCTATGACCTATACAAGCAGCCTAGGTGTCCACTGGAGGTCCCTTCCAGCCTCACTTCTCTATAACTCGGTGACTTCTCATCTGCAAAACAGGTGCAGTGATGGTTTCCTCCTGTTTCCTGCATCTTGTGATTTGTGCAGGAAAAGTGCCATATCAGCACAAGGAATTGTTAATGGATGCCTGAGCAGGGAAGCAGAGGCTGGTCTTCATTATTACATCCATTCCCAAATGCCAAGACTTTCTCCCTTAGGGCATCTGGTCACACCCTCAAGGAATGGTACCACAGCTGAGAGCTGCTGAGCTACTGCAGTGCTCTGACCATATTACTGGGAGCCCCCCAGTACCAGGAGCCTTTTGGGGGAGCTACATTAAGACCAGTCTATGACATGCAGGGGTTCCTCCACAAGCAGTGAATCATGTATTGTCCTGGAAAAACAGCATTTTAGCCCTGTGCTAGCAGAGAAGAGTGAAAGAGCTGTCAGGGCTAAGAGACTTGCCCAGTTACTTTGCACCACAAGCCAAGTTGCCAGCCTGATGTGTAAGTGTTTGTGTCTTGCTCCAGCGTTTGACTTGGGAGAAGCTCTGAAATCATTCAGACTTTAGTTTACACTGCAAAGTGATCCACACAGGCTAAGCAAACAAAGAGACAGGTATGGAGCCCACACAATTTACACTGATATGCAAATATAACCTTGGCTGCACATTAAACTTATTGCTAGAAACTTTTTTCTAATTGCAAAGGGGCTGTTCAGGAAAGTAGCACCTCTCTGCCTGAGAGTACTGGCTTGTTACACTGGGTTTACTGATGCGTTGTACCAGGAGGTCTTTTGGACACTGTGACAGGTACTGATGGGGCCTGCTACTTTAAGGTCACTCGGGGAGACGCTGAGTAAGCCCAGCAGGTGATACTGGCCCTCATTAGAGCAGCCTGCAAGTTAAGAGGCTGGAAGGTGATGCCAGTAAGAAGCCTCATGCAACTGCAGGGTGGGAATCTGGCTGAAGGAGCCTGAGCTGGGTCAGGGCCCCAGCTTAGACAGGGCTGTAAGCTGGTAATTATAACAGTGGAGCAAAGGGGAGCAATATCCTTGATAAGGATATAAGTATGAAATTATATGCATTTAAATTATATAACCATGAATTACTGTTTCTGTGAGGTACTCGCTTTGCTAGCTATATGATCCCAGCA